GTAGCTAGCATTATTGGCTTGCACAAGGTAAAAAAACGTCAAATAAATCACTTTTGACCCCACAACTGAAGAATAGGCATTTAAGGTTCATGCTGTTGAGGAAGTGACAAGAATGATATGCTAGAAATTGTATGCGTCGCTAGTCATTCCCCACTTAATATAAGGTAAGGTGGAGCCAATTCCCGTACTTCTCTTGGGTATCAAATCAAGATCTTCAAGTGTCAAGGTATTCCTGTACCTTGAAATGGCTAAACGATATCAACTTCAGAGTTAGTGGGACAGCACATGATTAAGTCACCTTTTTAGCAGGCTTCAAGAAGGTAAATTTGTGGCTGAATATTTTATGTCTTTGGCAATTCAGAAGTGTCTGTGCCGTGTAGACGGCCGGATTACCGGCATGACTGCCAAGTGAGCGACCCTCGGTTCCAAAAGAAACACGCCATATCGCTAGTATCAAAGGTTGAATTTCAATATCTTACATAGCTGGAACAAAGCTGGTCTAGAATCTCAAGTCAGAAAATGCGCTTCGTACCGTATAAAGGGGTGTTGTGGATTTCGGCGGCAGCCTTGCAGGGCCCGGACTCCGCAAGAATAATATGTACCCAAAGCAGCACTTTACCCACCTCTCACCTCTTTGACCGCAGTATTTGGCTCCTACCGATGAAGATCGTGGCCCTGTGATTATAGAATGGGTATTTGTAGATACGAGATTTCCGAATAATCAATTCAGGAGGAAAGACATCATCAGAGGAGTTCACGTGTTGCTACAAGTAATGGCGTGGACAATGTGCAATCTTTCAATACAAACTGAATCAGGAATGATCTCTGACCTTCACAAGAGATGCTTTGAATGTACGGAGAACGTGTCTATGACTTCATTGAGCCTACGGAGAACGGGCCTACGGAGCGGATTTCCAGGATTCTCCCTTCGTCCCGAGTTAAGCTGAAGCCGATCGGCGGGATTCAGACGGGACATGGGATTACGTATGTCAACGAAGAGGGGCAAATAGCATGGCATGGGCCCCGGTGGAGGATCCGAACTCAAACGAGGGCCGACGAGCTCGGCAAGAACAATGAAGCAGATAAGAGCTGAGGTTACTGCATATGTCAGTCAAACCATCGCTTTCTATGCCATACTAGAGGGGGGGAAGAAAGACCCATGTGTATATGATGCGCTTAGGTAAAAAGATACACAGTAGTATTTCCTCCACCACACAACCCAAATAACTGTGCGAGTAGGCGCTGTGCACGGCTGGCATTTCTATTTTCAGGAGGTGCTGCCGGCGGCTCTGAAGAACTTTATTTTCTTCTGCAAAAAGTTACCGAGTATCCCGAGATATGGTAACGCCAACTGCAAGAGCCGTACACTGGCCTGGCTTAAACTGACGGCTGCAATAACTGTGAATGAGGGCTATAGTGTCGTTCTAATGAGACTTGCGCCGGTATTAATCCGCTGACGTAGATCCGAAGGACCTGTCATTATTGTGGGACGAATGTGGACAGCTAATAACCTCAGATTAGGAGTAGGCTGCAGAATGAGGAATGAGTGAGACTTATCTTTTTTCTGAATGGGTGTATGGAATTTAAGAGATATTATTGGGCTGGAAATCATAATCATTTTTCCTCTGTTATTCAGTTAGGGACGCCCAAGCATAGAAGAACGATAATCAGTCTCTCCAATTCCTCTTGAGTGATGACGAGGGTGAAACACGACCCACAAAAATCGTTGACCAACATCCTAGTCAATCCGAGTGCTTAGCACGTGCTCCGTTCCAGGCAGTCTGCCGTCATTCTAGACACTGTGAGTGCGAGCAGTGCGGGTAGCCAGGGTGGTCGGGATTGCGTTGCATGACCCGCGCCGGCACCCTCTTTACGCCCATCCACCCGGCTGTTAAGACTAGGCGAGAGACCCCATGCATGAGTGCATCAACCAGAAGACGGCCCAGGCAGATCCCGAAGACCACGACCCGGCCATTTCAATGTTGTTAAGAAGATTCTAGTCACCAAGTTTTGCGGCATCCGACTATTTCACACCTACACACCCATGGCGAGTTAACACGTAAAGTTTGCCAAATCTATGATAGAGTCTGGTATGAACGATTTTGGCTCAGTCACGTGTACGATCGGACTTTAGGTAGGAGCCGTGCTAAGTTTTGGAAAACTCTCGGGCGGATCATGAAGTCCATGCTTTTATCCCACGCTACCTATTCGGTAAGCGTTGAGCCCTGCGATATACATCATGTACAAGACACAAGCTTCGGAAGTAGTTTCCGAGCAAACTATTTTGCCTGAGAATTGGAGCTTCAAGGTCACTGATACGTTCATATTTTGTGGCAGTGGAAAGTTTTGAGTCCCCAATTTGGCCCTTGTATCGTGTGACATATAGTATCATCGATGGCTTCTAATCTCCATGAATCGAAAAACAATGCCAAGAGCTGAGATTTTCAATAAACACCTGGCCTGTGTGAAATTGAGATAGAGCAGAATGACCGAAGAGGAAATCAACTCTTGAGGGTGCAGACCTGTTAACGAGGTGTCAGGGCGAAAATAGGCCCGTACGTCTTGACGGCCGAAACTGTCTGTGCTCAACCGGAGACAGAATGTACACTACAACGAACTTAACCAGTTGCTTATTTTAGCGCTGCGAACAGCGCTACCGGGTAACTCCTAGTTTGATTATTCGAACAAGGGCCGCATGATTTTTCTGGAGGTTGGAAGCCATAAGCCAATTAGCAATACAAATTTCTAGGTTATTCAGAGCGATTAATTGAACGAGTATCAAACGGCAATGCCCGCTTAGTCTAGCCTACTTCGGGGATAGAGTAGGGAGTTCGTGCTTGGGAAATAAAGGTAACTGGAGGGAAAATATCAAAAATCCAAGTAAATTGAACTTGTAAGTGTACTCGTGTATGTATCACGAACCTTCGTACGAGATTCTTACGTGGAATTATCAGACTACAATTTTAGGTCTTGCGCAGCACTAATTAGGAACTATTAATCGATCATGTAAGGAGGATTGAATCGTTTTGTACCGCCATTGCTATTGGAGATGTTGACACGCAGGTGTTTGGAAATGAGTTTGTTGTATGCTTAGGATCGAGTGTCAAGGGTACTGAGAGACAATTAATCTTCATCCTGTCTGCGCTGCAAGCAACTGAGGCACTCTGGCATTTGCGTTTTCTCAATGTAGGTATGTCTTGCAAGCTCTGGAAGTTGTCACCAGAAAGGGAGGAATCATCTAGCTGGACTAAGGACATTAGGACTCGCTCATCAAAACCCACGCATTCGTTCGTAGATCTTGATGTAGGTGTAGCTGGCAGGCGTAAATGACATGAGAGATGTACTGGTTAGCAAGTTGTGCTGTGTCCTGGCGGGCTAACGTGAATCGGAGAGATGGGCCATGGGCCTCTAAAAGCGAATGAGCACAGACCTAACACTCACACCAGCTCCGAGCGACCCCTGGTCTCGCTTGTATTTATGCGTCTTCCCATTAGCCTCGTACCATGGGAAGCTGAGCGGCTTCTCCGGGGGTATGGTGGTATCTTCTATTCCTAACTCTATCTGAGTGAGGGTAATTACCAAAGATACTTTCTCGTCAAAAATCTTCGCTGGCATCTCCTGTATTCAATGGCTCCTGCAGGGAGCCATCCTGCTCTGGGACTGGCTTCCATAAGCCCTGTAGTTGGCATGAAATAGGATTGTTCCTTGTCTGTGATGGCAGAATTTAAGATATTATCCCTTCGCGTTCCTACAGTGCTCTCATCACTGAACAGACAAGTCGAATGCATTGGGAATCGCCAGTCTCTCATTTGATAACGCATCTATACTTTTTCGAATACTAGTCAGTGCGAAAGCGCCTAAATCGATGCATCTCACTTGGTCCTCAAGCTGAAATCCCACGAAATCCTTAGTACGTTTTCAACTCTTGACTAATCAAGCCACCAAATCCACTTACTCTCCGCCTGCTCATTAGTGCTGAGCTGCTCACTCAAACATACAAGGCACTAATACGCTTATTCCAACAAAATTCATCACATCTTCCGGGCTCTGACTAAGAGATTATCTCGGATCTAAGAGCAAGTGTTTTCTTATAGTTATAGAGACAGTTGCCTAAAACCATGCACGGAGCTGTTCCAAAAAACCGAACCAAACACGTATTTTTTTAAGAATCTTTTAAATTTTACTGTCGTCAGACATTTAGTGAAAGTAGTTATCATCTTTCAATCCAATCTCAACCACAAGATGAAGTGTTGTAGGTTCAAACCGAAAGAGACTCCCATATCAAATGTGGTGATGTATCTCGAGGTGATCTTGGTTAAGGAGCTCACCGATGTGACCTCAAATCATCTGGGTCTGCTTTGGAACTTCACCGGCCTAGAATTCTATCAATCTGTTTGTTGTTTTTTTCGATTAAGTTAATCAACCATAAAAAACTCATTTTGATAAGTTGAACTTTGGCTCATTCTCAAAGAAATTTTTTCCTGATAAAAGTTATTTCACGCAGTGCCTTAAATTTTCCGAGATAAAAGTTATTGTCACTTCAACCGGCTTACCGTTGATAGCCCTTGACAGATTTATCGCCCATCTCGTTGATAATTTTCCGTCATAATATTTCTTGTACCGAGTGATATAAAGCGAATAAAGCGTGACCGGGCCAAAGAGATTGAAAACACTACGCAACAGCTGAATTGAGCTCTAAGTCAAATTCTCCAGCAAAGATTATTTTGAGTCTACCTCGTCAAATATGGTAGAATGAGGAAACTATAAGGTTTAATACGAGACATCTTTACAAAATTCAATCTGCGTCTTATTTCAAAATTTAATCAAAAGTATAACGTCAACTCTAATTTTTTAATTAAACTCGCTGCATTCTAGCCGCTTATATAATCATTTTTTAAATACTTCTCGATTCTGGACAGATACCTCTGCGCACTTCATTTTACGAGTTGCCAATTTCAGGGTAGTGAAATCACAGAGACCTGCTTGGGAAAAATTTTAGCATGTCGGAATCCATTAAAACTTATCTTAGATCACCTATCACTCCAAATAAGTCCTTTGAATTTGAATCAGCTTCTACTCCCGCTTCTCCGAGGACGAAAGTAGAGTTAGAGAGAATTCCAATGGTTACATCGCCGAGGCTTACGCATGCACGTCTCTCTCAGAAAAATTCTGTATATCACTCGAACCAAAACTCTTACTTCAATTTATACCAAACAAACTCGATACCTCAAAGTTCAGCAGCCCTTGAAACACTAGCCCCGAGTCGATCCTGCAACGGAACACCAGCTTCAACAGTGTCCTCGACAGGGACAATTCCTAGCATCCAGAATTCAGTCACCGCAGGTATGCACGCCCAAAAGAGAGCATATCGGCAGAGAAGGAAAGACCCTAGCTGTGATGCATGTCGAGAGCGTAAAGTAAAATGCGATGCCACAGAAACTGTCAGCTGCTCGGAGTGTCTCAGCCGAAATGTCAAATGCCAGTTTACCAAGGAGACAAATAGACGTATGTCATCCATTAAACAAGTTCAGGATTTAGAAAGACAGGTCGCTCTAATGAAACGAGAAAATTTCCAACTGCGATCAATGCTTAACGTACGTGATGAAAAAGTTAGTATGAGTGGCGAAATATCCCAAATAAATCTTCCTGTGATAGGATCTCATCCCAGGAGAAGATTAAAGCCTCCATCTCTACAGGAACTTTCGCGAGCCCGAAATAACATGAGTAATTATGGAAAGGGTATTTTTAAACCGCCACCACCATACCGAATATCAGGAAAACAAATACATATTACACCTTCACGATTAGATCTACCTTCAAAACATCTTTCCGAACATCTTTTGCAATCTTATTTTGAATCTGTACACTTAGTAATGCCTATTCTGCACCGCCCGACATTTGAACAAGAATTTGAGAATTTGTATAAATCTGCAGGCATTTCTAGCATGACGCCAGCATGGATATCACTTTTTTACACAGTTCTAGCAGTTGGCATATTATACTCCACTGAAAATCCTGTTCAGCACATGCAGAAAGGTCGAGAGTATCTTGAGATATCACGAATGTTAAATGATAGCTGGAATGATGACTTCACTCTTAACCATGTCCGGACTGCAATACTTACCAGTATGTTTCTTATGGAGGTTAATAAGAGATCTGCAGCTTGGGTATGGTTAGCATCAGCAGTTAGTATCTCTCAAGATATTGGGCTAAATTCAGAAGCTAGTTCATGCTCGGAAATTGAGGCAGAAATGCGACGTAGAGTGTGGTGGGCAATATACGTCTGGGATCGTCATATATCATTAGAGCTCGGACTTCCTCTCCTCATCAAGGATGATGACTGCGATATCAGTCTTCCAGCTATCATCAATGAATGTTATACGGGGGAGGCTGGACCAACCCCAATGAATAATTTTGGCTCATCTCAAATAAATTTGATTATATCAATCATTCATATCGTTCGATCATTTTCTCAACTAACGAAAGCACTAAAATCACCTGTCATCTCTGAATCTACTTTGGAAATATTTGATTCTCACTTTGCAGCTTGTATGGCAGCATTCCCACAATCCCTTCAACTTCAATCTCTAGATCCTCTTGATCCTAGATCACTAATTCCAGTCTGTCACCTAATGAATGCTCGATTAATATTACATCGACACAATCTCAACATTTCTTGTCCCCCAAAAACTAGAGCTAATGCACTAGAACAATGCATACGCGCATCTCTTGACTCATCTTCTCTCATATCACGAGCCATGACTTGGTCAAACTTATCTCATTCTTTTGGATTAGCCGCACATTCCATGATCTGTACTCATATATGGCGCTGCACACTATTTCTTTTATTTGCAGGTCATCTTGATGCGGCACTAATCTGCATCAGAGCTTCGTCAAATATTGGATCACTGAGAGACATTAATATTTACTGCGGTCATTACATTACTTTTTTTTTAAGAATTTTGATTGAAAAGCGTCGGTCAAACAGCATAATAATTGGTGGCGATTATCGTGACCGTCATATATTAGACGAAGAACTAATTGTATATGTTACTGGAGATCTACAAACCAACTCTAATAGTAGCTGGGTCTGGCAAAACGGAGATAAAGAGATCAATATCACAGAAAGAGAAGGGAGAGATTTCTCTCAGTCCACTACGATCAAGCAGGACGTGGAGGGTATCAGTTGTAATATATCAACCACACCCAAGATTGAATCCGGGGAATGGGGCGGATGGAAAATGATTGAACATCTGGTTGGGGTACTTGCCCGTGAATATGAAGGGCATAATAAACCTACTAACCCACATTTCTTTTCCGGATCAAATACTGAAAATATCACCTCAGCCCAAGACCGTCGAAAAGGTAGCGAAAGAATGAGTATAACGAACATTATCTGAGGTGCTTACCTGCCACATACAGTACTTGAAACGGAATACTATGTGATGGCGACTCTCCTTTTCTTTCCGAGACTATTAGTTTATACATGAAATTGATTTTTTAAAAAGTAGCGGTGCATAAAAATCGGAGAAATAGCGGATCAATAATAAACATATGGTGTAAGGGCTTTAACAATTATCTATGGCGTTATTAGTTGGGGATTCACTGAGACATATAGATATAGTAAGGTGTAGTGTATAACACAATGACGGTTATAGAATTTCGCTTGGATCTAGAACTATAATTAACCTTGTAAAAATAATGTCATAAAAATTTAGTAAATATACAAAATTCTTACCATCAAATGTAAAGTAAACAATTTGGGGTAAAATACCCAGTAGACACGTCCTCTACAGATACTTTGAGGTTTCCGAGGGCGCTAGTTTCGGGAGATATCCATCATATCAGTTCGCCTTTTTAAAAGATTTATTCAGGAAGTGATAACTCCTCAGTCATCCAGGTTGAAGAGCGCAATAATACAAGTAACCACCGAAGGGAAACTAAGCACATGATTTGAAGTCACGTGTGTAGTCATGTGTGTAGCAAAACGTGGCCTACTTCACAGCCCCAATTTTCATAACTTTTCACCCGCGAAGACGGTATAAATTAAATCGAAGTGCAAAATTAATAGGATTGACAGCAGCAAGCATCGACACGATAGTGTGTTTTCTGTGAAGACTAAATTGGACGTCAATAGACAATAGAGATGTCTGACGGCAGTGGTTTGTTTGTATTTTGTCTGTAATTTTAAGGTCCTAAGCTACTGCTCCCGGTCCGCTATAGGTACAAGACCGGTGGAACCGGAAGGGATCCCTGTGTTCTTTACCACAGCCCAACTCATTCCAGCCGCGTGAAACCACTACCTAAATTGTAGCCGGATTAAAACAAGACTAATTCTAACAGTCAAAATTAATAAACAAAGGAAATTCCAATTTAACGGTCCAGTATCAGCGCTCCTCACCCTGACTCCTTCTCTTTCACGGTTTCCACCATAAATATTATTCTTCGTCCATGCTGAGAGCTGTGGACAAGGTCGCAGGTTAGCTTTTGAAGCAGCCAGTTTCCTGCGCAAACGTTGAAAATTCTTTGAGGCATTTGGGCCCTAGAAGAATTTTAAGAAATTGTTGGTATGGGGTAGTTCCCCTTAGTCGTCAGGTATGACGAGTGTAAAGTCTGCAATGCATGAAATGCGTTGCTGTAGTCTCCTCTCCGCACGAACACTTCATGTTCGCGTTTGGGCTGTTGAAACGTCTGTGGTAAGCGGCGAAATTTCCGTAACCGGTACGAGCCGCGATGACTTCAAATAGAAGTCGTCGTGGAAGTGATGGTTCCGGTGGCTTTTTCCGGCGCATCATCAAGTCTAGTTCGCGGTATCTGGGTGGGCATGATTCGTCCCAGAATTGGTCTAGCAGCATCTGTCTCTTCTGATTCATAAGCCGGTAGAGGTATGCACTGCTGATGTTTTGCGGCTCCTCATCTCGGGGAGGGAGACTGCGGAGTTTGCTCCGAGCTGCAGCATCTGCTTCTTCGTTCCCTTGAATACCCTTGTGTCTTGGAACCCATTTTACGAAGATTCTTTCGGGAGCAGCCTGTGTCATTGTCCAAAATATTCGGACTTCTTTAATGCTTGTCGATGTGTCTTCGGACAGCATGGCGGTTCTTGCATGCTGACTGTCGGTCAGCACGTAGATAGGTTGCGCCACTTTTCCTGGGATCCGAGATTCCAGCCCACTTATTCGCAATGCCGCCTCTAGAGCCTTCTTCACTCCGACTATCTCAGCGTCCAGTACCCCCCCCGTGTATGGTACCGGACGGCAGTGGTATGGTTTGGTTTGTTCATTAACGTGCTAGGTTAAGTGACTACCGTTTCACTCCTACTGGAGCTCAAGCATGGGTGGGGCCGGGCTGGATCAGGTTAACTACCATTAAGTATATCTACCCCGTCCCACCTGAATGACCGGACCACCTCAGACTTCACCTATGTGTTGAATCATACCAAGCCTGACTGTCTAGAGACCCGCTGTATACACGCCGTAGCGCAATTTCCTCCTCAGCCTCGGCAAGCACGTGCCCGAGCTCTTGACACCTTCGCGATCTGTAACTTTTCCCTTCCATTCAGCTCCAGCTTTGGCTCATCTCAGCATCTCCTCATCTCATCCAGGGGTCTTTTTTTTCATTGGAGGCCTGTTGTAATTAAGGTATGAGTAGGTATGAGATGTCGAATATTCTAGGGATAGTGCAGAGGGTGGATAAGGATTATCAGAGCTTGACGATATGATGAATAGCTTGGTTATATTATTCTACATATCACAGTAGTAGATAGAACTTATATACACATATTTGGTACGCGCTATACAGTACATTACCGTCTATGCAGGAAGTACTACAATCTTAATTCCATGCAATACTATCCCACATTACTCTATGCTATTGTATAGAGCTGCGCCTCAATAGTCGATCGCAATGATGGCCATGTAGGGCTGTGCAGTACTCGCATAGATGTGTTGTATCCCTGGCACTTGGCAGAGATAAATTTAGAGTAAATGCAATAATCACATCACAACAAGGCCTCATCCAGTCGCCCAGCAAGGCCTACTCAGTTTGTATTCCCTATTGTTCCTTCATGTAGCATCTCTTTGTCATTCAGCCGATCCCGTCATCTCAGAAACTTTGTGGAATGTCCACCACTCCGGCCTTGCCCCGTCGCTGACATACCCCTAACCATGGAGGTCGAAAACGCGACTGAGAGCTCAAGACCAAGGTACCAGTGCCCCAGCCTTTGTCGAAACGCTCTAGTTGGTGTGCCGGCGAAATGTCGTACGTATTTTGTCGGTGGTGATTCGTCGCAGGTCGAGTCGTTGGTGCCCTTGGCCGAGGTGAGGACGCATTTAAGGCCGATATTTCGACTGTACCTTCACAGCGACTGGTAGTTGCCGAGGATCGGACATCCTCTTGCTTCTTTGTTGGCGATTTGAATTTTGGAGGTATAGGATTGCTTCGGTAGTTGATGAAAATTGTGGAGAGGGCTGCGAGATGAGTTTGGTTGGGAATGATTTTCCAGAGAAAATAAGATGTTGAAGGTGTAGGTTTTGTGATACGAACATCAGATAGGTTATAGGCTGACTGCGGTTTGTATCTGGAGTGTAGATGGTCGATTTCATTGAGTTGTGCAGTCGTGAAATCTCTGCAAGTCGGATTTTCGACCAAAAATGAGCCAACACCACTCCTCTAGATCGCCAACTCGGCGAAAACCCTCAAAATCACCCTTTGTCGTGACTAAATCTCGGCTCTGGGAAAATATTTCACTCCCAGGTTCGTAGAGGACACCGCTGACAGGTGTTCAGCCTTAGTCCTCCGAATCAGAGTAGGTATTGTATTCTTTGAAATTGATTTCATTTAGCCCGATTTGGCGCCCTATGGGCCCATGCAGGTGTCTACGAACTCTAATATTTACACAGGAGGAAACCTTGCAGTAAAAACCCCCTTAGCTGTCTGACTTGACTCTGTGCGATTATGGTCTTACCTCTAGGAAGTGCACTCACACTGTTGTTGCCAGTGTGGATTCCGTCATTGTCCTGTGTATCCATTTTCCTCTCTCCGCCTGATTAACGCCTCGATTTCCCCGGTCATCCGAAACTGCTCTAGCCATCCTTCCTTTTGAATCCACTGCGCAATTCTGGTCATATCTTTGACGTTATTTACCATAGCTTCGAAAGATCGAGTTGTCGATTTTCGTAGCAACTCACCTCTTCCCTTTGCCCATCTTGGACAAGACATCACCATGTGCTTTATATTTTGGGGCGGATATCCACATTGGCAGCATGGTTTTCCTACTCCTGGCACGTTCCTTCTGTATAAGTAAGCATTGAGCCCAATGTGCTCGCTTCTTACTTGTGTGGCAATGCTACTCTGGGCCCTGCTAAGGTTTTGGTGGATTTGGATGGGTGATTCTTTATAGTTCATCATAAGTCTCCCTGTTTTCTTGTCGTTGTATAAGTTTGCAGCATTCCACTTATCTGGATTGGCTTGCGCTCGGGGACCCAAGTGTCGCTCCTTCTTCTGGCTCGTCCACGATTCTGACCATTCCTTGAACGCGGCGTTTTTACCGGCTACCTTCTGTCCTGTTTTAGAGTCGATGTTGCTGCAGATTAAGGTCCATTCCGCTGTATCATCTCTTCTGTTTTGATCGCGTTTACTTAAATTTTCTTCATCAAAATATTTGATTTTTCTGCGTGCAGTAGAAATTGTCTGTTGGATAGGTAGGTTATTGGATAGCCCGGTATATTGAAGCCGCCTTTGTTTAAGGTAGATCTTTATCGGGAGAGTTGACGTTTCATGCTCTAGCATTCTACTACTGGTCGACTGGTATGCCCCTGTAATGATCTTTATAGGTATTGTATTCGTTTTTATGTAAAGAACTAACTAGGTATAAAATTATTTATAGTATTTTTAACGTCGTGCCCGCGCACGACGTTATGCATTTTGAATTTGATTTCATTATCCTGATTTGGCGCCCTATGGGCCCATGCAGGTGTCTACAGTCTATAATATTTACCCGGGAGGAAACCTTTATGGTGAAAACCTCCCACACCTTTCTATTTGTTCTCTATAGTCCTCACATATTTTCTTCAGGAAGCGCAGTTACACTATAGTGCCATCCATGTAAACTAACCAGATCATCTCTATCCTCCCCCAGCATTATTTGACCTTTTCCTTTCCCTCAGCAGTATTTCGACCGCTTTTGTCATCTGGAATTGCTCTATCCAACCACGGTTTAGGATCCACTGTTTTATCCTTTTTATATCTCCAGGATTATTTAACATCGCTTCATAGGATCGATCTTTGGCTTGTCTCCAGATCTCAGCTCTACCATTTGACCATTGGGGGCAGGACATAATCATGTGCTTTGGGTTCTGTGATTGGTAGCCGCATGGACAACCTGGACTTAATACTCCGGGTA